AAGGCGGGGGAGGGTTGGGGGGCAGGAGGGAGGCGGGGTAAGAGATCAACCGAAGGACTTGTATGCATGCATATAAGCATAACCAATGGACATAAGACACTGGGGGGTAGGGGCAGCCAGAGGATTGTTAAGGGCGGGGGAAAAAAAAGGACACATATGTAATACCCTTTGTAATACTTTTAGCAATAAAAAAAAATAAAAAAATGTTACTTTATTGCTGATATGTACTGTGTAGATAGGACTACGATGGTTGTGTCTATACTGAACATGTACAGATTTTTTCTTGCCATTTCCTGAACAAAACAACTATTTATATTGTTTTAGATATTATAAATAATCAAGAGATGATTTCAAGTATATGGGAAGATATGAATGGATTATATGACAGAACTCTACCATCCCATCTAATAAAAGAGTAATATGCAAATTAACCATCACTCCATCACAAAGATGGCGACAGCCATGGAGCTGGAGAGAGCAGGAGGCTTGGGTTGCTCCCAGCAATGGAGGAAGCCAAGCTTCCCGCCTGCCCTGGCTGGCACTGGCCTCTGCTCAAGGCTACAAAGTTTCAATTATAGAAGATAAATAAATCCCAGATACCTGCTTCCAGCCGGCCCTGGCCTCTGCTCAAGGAGGCGCTGAAAAAAAAAAGAAAGGAGAGGCTGGGAGCTTGGGTCACCAGGGGGCCTGATCAGCCTGAAAACGGCCATCAGCTCCTCATCCAGGTTGGCCAGGCACCCCAGCAAGACCCATCCCATTGGGGACCCCCACTCTGATTGGGGGTGTGGCCGACCTGCAAACTGCCTGCGGTCCCTCGCCCTGACCGGCTGCACCACCCAGCAGGGCCTCCCACCCTGATCTGGGGCCCCCTTCAGGGCAAACCAGCCAGCCCCCACCCATGCACCAGGCCTCTATCCTATATAATAAAAGGGTAATATGCAAATTGACCCTAACAGCAGAACGACTGGGAATGATTGGTCACTATGACACACACTGAACACCAGGCGGCAGACGCTCAATGCAGGAGCTGCCCCCTCATGGTCAGTGTGCTCCCACCAGGGGAGCTCTGCTTAGCCACAAGCCAGGTTGACGGCTGCCAGCACAGCAGTGATGGTACGAGCCTCTCCCACCTCCTCAGCAGTGCTAAGGATGTCCAACTGCAGCTTAGGCCTGCTCCCCACTGGCAAGTGGACATCCCTCGAGAGCTCCTGGGCTGCCAGAGGGATGTCTGACTTGCCAGCTTAGGCCCAATCCCCCAGGGCCTCTAGTTTTATCTAAGGGACTAGAGCAGCCGTGGGCAAACTACCGCCCGTTCGGCTGTTCTATCCGGCCCGTGGAGCTGAAAGAGCCAAGGGTTCTCTTGCTCTCCCCTCCGCTCCTTCACCAGCAGCAGTGTTAACATGGCAACGTCGGGAAACACAGCCGCAGGTCGTTCTTCTGAGTCCAGTTTAAGAACCCATTGTGGCTCTCGAGTCAAAAAGTTTGCCCACCCCTGGACTAGAGCATCTGTGGTATTTTGGTATTCTTGGTGGGTTTAGAACCAATACCTCTTGCAGATACATAGGGATAATTGTATAAGACAGAGGAAACAGTAAAGTTGTCCCTCTGCACAGCAGCTGCAGAAGGGCTCTGTGCTGGAGTGAGGTGGTGACTGAGGAGGAGTGAGTGACCCTCAAGATCTGGGCCTGTTGGCTGCTGGCTCACTTGAGTTTACTGGGAGCCAGTGGGGAAACAAAGGTAAAGAAGCATACCTCTTAGATCAGGGATGTCATTGTCACTAGATGAGCTGCATTGCCCATTGGGGCACAGGCCCATGTGTCTGCAGAGTGGTGGTGCTGTGTGCTCATCCCAACTCTGCCTCAGTACCTCTCCCTGGGTGGGAATTCAGCTGATTCCTGTGCTCTTAATGGAAAGAACAGCAAAGCTGCTTCTACCAGGAATCTGGGAATTCTAATGAACTCTATTTCCTTTTCAGTTTCCAGATCATCATGAGAAGAAATTTTAAACTGTAAGATTCAGTTTCTAATTTATTACCTAAAATGTGTTAAACATGATTGAATCTTTCTAAAAAGAAGGGAATTGACAGGGCCATAGAGCATCAGAGATCATGGAGTATTAGGAAGCCAAGGCTCCTGAGAAATCCTGAGGTTTAGATCTCTTATCACAGAGTACAAGCACATGTAGGGTAAACACTATCACTGTCATGAGTGGGTCTTGCCCCCAGTTTCTTGGGGCTGGAAATGAAGTCAGAAACCTGGCTTCTTGTCCCCAATATGATAAGCTGTGTGTGTGCTTTTGGACTCTTAATGCTTGTGTCTCTTTCTGGAAACTGGTGTTAGTGACCAACAGGAAGAAGGGTGTGTGGGTGAGATCTGTGCCAGAGTGGAGTGAAGGAGGGCAGACTGAACTTGGGCTTACCTTCTAAGTGCCACCATCAACTCTTGCTGATTAAGTCACTCACAGGAGTCTTATCCCCCCTTTCCCCCCAAGTTCCTCACCCCCAGGTCCCCAGAATGAAAGAATAAGGAAAATGTGTGAAATAATGTGGGATTGTTAGCCTTTTCATCTGGGAGCCACTCCTGCCTGGGGATTTACTTTCTGATGCCCTCAGAGGTGTGGATTAGGTGATATATGCCCTCTAACATCTTTCATTTTCTTGGTGTATGAAGATTTTTCTCCATTTGTGGCCCATATTTGAGTTGCTACATCAAGCACAGGGCTGTGGCAGGTGACATTAATGAGTTAGCTGGTCTTTAAATAGCACAGTTCCTATAAACAGAATCACCTGTTTTATAGCCTGGTATTGAAGACAATTGCTCACAGAGGATTCTGAATGGCTGGTAGAACATTAGAAGGCAGTGAAATGCTCCTTACCTGCCCCCCTTCCCCCTCCTGTGTGACAAAACACACACACACCACATCAGAGCTGTTCCTTTGGGTTGGACTGGAATTATTCCTCACCATGCGTTAAACTCAGGTTGCATCAGAATGAAGAATGTCCAAGCCAGAATCTTTTCCTTGATTTATCAGAAACTTAATCATTTGTTCTCTGAGTCAGCCTAATGGCGGGTAATGCTCACATCACATTCTTTTGGGGCTGGGCCAAGAAACAGCATGCTTGCCAGCATTTCAGCGATGAGCTCATCGGCCTTTTGGCTCCCACATTCCTGGCCAAGAGCTCTACTGGAATTAATACTATCACTGCAGCAGACTAGAGCCATCACAAAGATTGCTCTTTATTTTCCTGTGTCATGTGCTGGCCCTTGCTTTCATCAAGTGAGCCCTAAACTCTTCCTTCAGAAAGCCTTCCCAGGATGAGGCTGTGCGATGTGATGCTAGGAATTCAACCCAACACATTGTTTATGGAAAAGCTCTGTCACGATGGATGCTGAGGATACATACAGGTGAGCAATGGCCCAACTCCAAGGAGCATGTAATCCAGTGGGGGAGGGGATAATACAAGAACACAAGTCTCAATGCCATCAAGTATTAGCTATGTATGAGTCATCAGAGAAGAGCAAAGGAAGGACATGGAGCTTTGGAGAAGTAGGCACTTTGGATGGTTGGAAGAAGGCCTTGGAGAAAATGGGCATTTCAGCGTGATCTTGGAAACTGTACAATGGAGCTGGCACATAGTAAGTGTTGTTTACTGAAAAATAATATTGACTATGTGTTTAGTTATGAAAAAGGATTTACTTGAGAAAACAGAAGTAGTGACCAGTGCATGTAGACATGACAAGTCAATTGCACACTTTGGCCTGTGTGCCAAGGTAGAGGAGTGTTTATAAAAGGGATAGGGAAATAAAGGGAGGAGGGGATATTAGAACCATCAGGCTTTATTATAAACAAAGTTCTTCTTATAGGGTTCTTGCAGTTATGCAGAGTTCAAGAACTTCATAAACCCTAGCTCCTCCCATAGACCCTCTCAACTGATTGTTTGCTTAAAATTCTTGCCCAGCTGGTGGTTCAGTGGTTAGGTGTTGACCCATGAACCAGGAGGTCATGGTTAGGTTCCTGGTCAGGGCACATACCCAGGTTTTGGGCTTGATCCCCATTCTGGCAGAGAGCACAGGGAGCACTGAGTGGATGGGATGACTGGTATCAAATATGGAGAACCCCTCAAGGGAGACACTGGCAAATGTGGAGTGGCTCGTGGCTGAGTAAAGGGCAGGTAAAACCCAACCAGAGTGAGAGGAGAAGACAGTAACAATTGTTCACTTGTTTTTCTGCAAAAAGAATTTGGGGCTATGGTGGTGGTTGTTGGGGGAAGTGGGACCAACAGAAGGAATTTTAAAAATGCAAGACATACTAGCTTACATTCGCTGTGGTCAGCCAGGTTGCTGCAAACCAGAGGCTTCAGTCCCCCCCACCTCCCTTGTCCCCATCTACCCATCTACCCACACCCCCTCTGACACAGGCGCCCAGAGGGGCTCCGGGGAGAGCTGTCTGCAGCACACGAGGTAATCGAATATGGGAAGAAGGTAGACATGGAGACATAAAACACTGTCTAAATGAAGGGCAATCGTATTTGAAGTAATTTGAAGATTGACAGGAAATTCATAAAGGGAATATGGAGTTCCATTTACAACAGCAGGAGATTGTCTTGTCCATAGCTCTCTGACCTCTGGAAGAACAGAAGTTGCTGCTGGCAGAGTTCCAAAACATGAAAATGCAAAATGGAATTGAATAATCTCTCCTAAATCAATTTTGTGAGCAGATGCCCTACAGAGGGATGTGATATAATGCAAGGTATACAACACAGAGTGTTTCTGTCTGTTGAATACATCGTGACAGTTGATTTGGGAGATAACCAAGTACTGCTTTTCTTTGGTTTCTGAGAGCCTGGTTAGTGCTCTTTAGTCAGCCTCCATGAAGACTGTCATAGGGAAGCATGCCTTTTGTTCTGACTTTGGGGAGCTGATTGCAGAGTTGGTTAGAGGGGTTGCTAGGGCCTGGTTGGAGGAGCACTGACCCAGCAGGAAAGCCTCTGCTGGCCCTCTTCATCAGCACCAGGGGGTTGCTGTCTGTGCAGCATGGTTCTAGATTTTTGCTTCCTGATTGTGAATCATCCTTGTGTGTCCTGTGTTCTGACGTCCTTCCTAGGATCAGCCAAGTGCTGAGGTTAACTGTGGGGCTGAATGGGGACATAGCAGTTTGTACTTAGTCCCAGGAATGTCTTCAACTCGAGGCTCACCTCAGCAATAGCCTCTGTGGGCATCTTGAACTTTCCGTTGGCAGTACAGTTTGGCCCACACTACACGGCAAGACTCAGCCTGGGGCACAGCAGGCTGTGACTGCCAGGGTCTTTCACCAGCCAAGGGGTCTGTGGAGACTCATCCTCAGTCACTCGACTGGACTGTCCCCTTGTGTTCACGGAGACACGAGCTTCTCCCTGCTCCTTAGGGAGCTTTGCACTTAGTGGTTGTGTTTTTTCTTGAGATTCTTAGGATGACTGAGCACATGTTGGTTTCAATTTTTCTGGGCATTTCAGGCTTTTTCTGGCTGTGAGGTAGGCAGAGAAAGTGCCTGTTAGAGTGGACCCATGATAGGGACACCTGCGCACTTATAGCTGTCACAAGCAAGGAGTCTGAACATTTTCTGTAAAGGTGCACATAGTAAATATTTTTGGTATGTGGGCCACATGTGATCTAAGTCTCATTTTTTCCCAACCTTTTAAAATCACAAAAACCATTCTTAGCTCATTGGCCATATGAAAATGGGCAATGTGCCATTGTTCACTGTTTCCTGCCATATGCCCAGCAAGCAGAGATGAATGTTGGCCTGGCCAGCGGTTCCCCAATTCGGTCTACTTAGAGGTAGGAGAGGCACAGAGGATGCTCAGTGTTGGGACAGACCATTGCATTTTGTACATGTGCATTTATGTTGTGGGAGCACCAGTCTTGGAAAGAACCTTCCATTCAGCTTAGAGACTTCCACCATTCAGGACACCCAGTAGCCATGCAGTCACATCATTACATTAGCAGTGCTGTGTTTTAGAAAACCCACCTCATTGCTACACATTGCCAGTGGTAATGATTCCAGTAGACCCTTTCTCCTGGAGCCGTACTTCTCCACCCTGAATGCACAGGAGAGTCACCTGGAGGCTTTGTCAGAATAGCAGTGCTCAGATCCCCATACCAGTCAGGCCTTGCAGCGTCAAGGCTTATTCTTTCTGTCATGTGCTGCCTAGATGCCTAGTAGTCAGAACCTAGCTCTCTGGCATGTGGTAGAGTTCATTATTGCTGCCTTTCCTTCCACCACTACCCCGCCCCTCCTTCAACCCCCCAGTCCACCCACCATGCAGTAAATGTTCTATAATGAGGAAAGGTTTTAACTTAATCAGCGTGCTGGTTCAGTTAGCACAAATCCCAAATGGTATGGGAGGCCTTTTAGCAGCTCAGATTAAGAACCTCCAGCCACTGGAGGGAGTGTGGACAGTAAGGATGAGCTCACTGGCTTTCAGAAGATGTCAGAAAATGCCAGTAAATTCTTCTTCTCTTTCTTCTTCAATTTGAGACTGTTCCGGTTCCCAGTGGCACTTACATCTAGGAATTGAGTGTTTATTTTTAAAAATCACTATTTTTCTCTGCAAACTTTGATCAAATAGAGGAGAAAGTGCTTAGAGGGAGGTTGGTAAAAAGATGACAGGAAATCTCATGGTGATGAGGCTTGTCAGCACACTTATATTTTCTTTTTACAAGTTTTATTTCTAGGCACTTGAGCCAGTCTCTGTTTACTCTTCATGCTGGCTGAGTATGTATACACGTTATTAATAGTAGCAGTGGGAAGAAAAGAATGCTTTCTAGTCTGAAATAGTCCCTAACAGAAACCTTGGAATTGAAAGACATTTGGTCTCTAGGGATCTAGGCCAGTGCCTCTCAAACTTTAATGTGCACAAGAACCCCTGGGATTTTTAAAACAGCAGGTGTGAGGCCTGGGAATCTGTATTCCTGATGAGCTTCCCATGGCCCTGTTTTGAGAGGCTCTTGGTCATTGCACATGATCCTACTTTCAGGAGGCATAATCAGATTGATTCCAGAGGCAGTTGGTAAATATAGGTTGCATTATTAGGAGCATGAAATACAAATGTTGGAGGTGATAGTCCTGCTTCAGTGTGCTTCCTGACTCTGTTAGGTTCCTGGACAGGGAGTCAGAGAGTGGGGATGTTACTGGCATGTGGGGCAGGTTTCCAGTGTCAGTAGACCGGTGCACTAACTCATCTGCTAGGCTGCAGTGCTGAGCACTCCCTTGTGCTGCTCTGTGACTGCTCATGGAGCTCTGGGAAGGTAGGAGGACACTGAGATTTAAAAGAATCTACAAGTTTGCCCAAGTGACTGTGTCAGGATTCATCTCAGGCTTCTCTGACTGCCAGGCCTAGTCCTGCTTCCCTAGTGAATAATAGCCACAGGACTGAGAAAGGTTAGTCTGACTCATATTTTTGGAGGATCTGGCAGTGCCCTCGTCCTCCTCCCTCCTATGTGTTGGGTGCTGTTTGAAAGGCTCAGATTTGGAAGGATTGGAGTGGTTCTGTTTGAAAGGTGCACACTCAGGATTAAGTGTTACTATGGGGGAGTGGCATCATGGGTTTCCATGAGGGTGAGGGTGGGGTGAGCAAGTAGGGGCTCTGGCTGTGGTAGGTGCTCTGGCAGAGGATGGGGCCACCTTGTGGAAGGAGGTGGAAGCAGGAGGCTGGGCACTGGGAGTCCCCATGCACCGACAGTTAGGTTAGATGACTTTGAAAACCCCAGTCCAGTTCTTTTGGCAGAATTTTGAGATGCTGTGTATGCCGACTCCCAAAACCAATGAAGTATCCAGTTGTTGATCAAGAAGCTGGGGAGGAGTACACCACTGTTTTTGCCATTTGATGTTTTGGGAACCATAGAACTTTTGTAAACTGAATGGAGATCATCCTAATATTTAGGAAATAAAAGTGAAAGAAATCACTAGCAAAACATTGCTTTATCTAAGTAACCTTCAAGAAGATAGACAAAAAAACAAAACACCAGTGTCTCATTAAAGTTGAAAAAAAAAATCCAGCAAGTGTAGCTTCTGGGAGGGGGACAATTTAATACGATAAAGGGTTAATCCTTTCAAAGGTTCGGAAATACTTTTAGGGAATTAATGTCCAGGATCTAATGGCATATTGATGACTATGATGCATGTGGTTCCGTAAAAGCTTTTAGACCCTGGCTCTGTTTCAAAGGCACAGATTCAAGATGACTCCTGATCTTTTTCCATGTAGGAAGAATCCTTTGTTCCCCTGGGAACATTTGCACTGTTCACAAAAATATCCACCTGACCAGTGAGCTCTCCTCATAGCCCGGCAAGGCCCTGGCTGGCAGGCCACCTTGCTGTATCCGGGCTGTGTTTGCAGAGGCAAAGGGGCCTCTGGCATGACACAACC